CAAGCATGTATCATTTCCAGTTCATCAAGTTCATATATCTTCGGTACAAGAAAAAGTTAATATTTCTCCAAGGTTCTATAGGGCCTGTATAAGCTGTTGCAAGTTGGAGAGTGCTAACTGTTAAGGGTTCTTTCTGCCTTGTTGATGGCCGCTTCAATTGCTTGTTTTCTTGTTGCTCGATATTCCTAGACGAGTTGCCTTCGTTAACCACGGATGCCTCAAATCATATATGCAGGGAGTATAATAGCTCAGTGAAGCACATTTGCTACATCCATTGTCCTTTGTCACGCCGGAAGGTCTAGAAAATAAATGAATAGTTTTATTTAGTTGAGATAGATGACTAATTCACACAAATAGAATCTAAGTATTTTAAAAGTAAAGGAAGTGAGTATTGCAAGGGAAAAAAGTATACTTTCCGAAAGACTCAAATTCGTGACTAAATCCGTGGCAAATTAGCCACGAAAAAAAAATTAGTCGGGTGTGCGGGGAGACTTCATTTCCGTGGCTAAATCCGTAGCTAATTAGCCACGGATTAAAAAAAAAATGCGGGTGCGCGGGGAGACTTCAAATCCGTGGCTAATTAGCCACGGAAAAAAAATTAGTCGAGTAAGGTGCCGAAAGACTCAAATCCGTGGCAAATTAGCCATGGAAAAAAATTTAGTCGGGTAAGACTTCCTAATTAGCCACGGATTTAGCCACGGATTAAAAAAAAATATTCGGGTGTGCGGGGAGACTTCAAATCCGTGGCTAATTAGCCACGGATTTAGCCACTGGAAAAAATTAGTTGGGTAAGGTGCCGAAAGACTCAAATTCGTGGCTAAATCCGTGACAAATTAGCCACGGAAAAAAAATTAGTCAGGTAAGGTGCTGAAAGACTTAAATTCGTGGCTAAATCCATGGCAAATTAGCCACGGATTTAGCCACATAAAAAAAAATTGTCGGGTGTGCGGGGAGACTTCATTTCCGTGGCTAAATCCGTGGCAAATTAGCTACGGATTTAGCCACGGAAAAAAAAATTAGTCGGGTAAGGTGCCGAAAAACTTAAATTCGTGGCTAAATCCGTGGCAAATTAGCCGCGGGAAAAAAATTTGGGTTTGCCGAGACAATTTTATAGTTCGATTCTAATTTGCCGCGACAAATTTAAAATTCGTGACTAATATCGTCGCAAATTAGCCACGGAATAAAATTCGTGGCTAATTTCGGCGGAAATTAGCAAAACGGCGTCGTCTTCATTTGTGGGTACAAGTAGGGTTTTCTTTTCTCTTCTCTGTCTCTCTCTCTCGATCAAAAAATTTAGGGTTTTCTCTTCTCTGTCTCTCTCGATCGATCGATCGATTCTCGACGGATTCTGTCGAGTTGGCAACCTTCGGATTCGGCGTTCTTCAGCTCGATTTTTTCTTGGACAGAGGAACCCTCCGACGGACGCTGGGAAGCGCGAGGACCCGGCGCAAGGGCGAGGACCCAGCGCGAGAACCCAGCGCAAGCACGAGGACCCAGACCCAGCACAATCGCAATGACCCAGCACAAGCACAAGGACCCAGCACAACCGCGAGGACCCACCTCGAGGATCCATCTGACAAGGATCGTCGTCCGAGAGTTTTAGAGGAGGTACATTCTCTAAATTTTTTGCACTTTTGGTCTCGAGCGAGCGCTGTTTTTAGATGGGTAGGGCGGAGATTGTTCGGTTTCAAATTATGTGGACGTTTGATGCTGCTTCTTTTATGTTGGGTCTGCTGCTTCTGTTTTGGTTCTTCTTAAGTATTGTTTTGTTCGTGGTAACTGGAATTAGCTTTCAATTTGTGGCGAATTTGATTCGACTTATCTCGGGTTGAATGTATTGTTCTGTTCGTCGTAACTTGAATTGTTCTGTTAGCCGTAACTGGAATTTCCGGCGAATTTGTTCTATTCGTCGAGTGGAAACGGGCTGAAATTTGGTCTGATTTGGGTTGAAATTTGGTCGGAATGGGCTGAAATTTGGTCGGCAAAGTGGAAACGGCCAGCTGATCAATACACACTACCTTTGGTTGTGATGCATGTCGTTTTTTGGCGTTTCGGAGTCGTTTAGATGAGTTTTTGAGCAAAAAACCATTATGTAAAAACAGTAATTTCGGTTCGGTTTGAGTTTTTTTGGCGTTTCCGAGTCATTTGATTATTGTTTTATTTATATCTAGGTTTGAAAATTGAAACCAATTAAAAATAGGCTACTGAGATCATGTCATGTAGGCTACTAAAAATTAAAACCATCATTTTTCGTGGAATCTAATGTAAGATTTCAATAGATGCTAGAGATAGCAATATATAGTTGTTTGTAAAGCTGTAATTTCTTTATGGAAAAGGTTGGGTAAAGCTGTAATTTCTTTATGGCGATTAGAATAATGTGATGACGAATGTTGTCAATGTACATAAGCTTGTTGATGTTTAAAATCAACATTAGTGCACATGAGTTTTCTTCTCAACATCATGTTGCTTCACTCATGTTTTCTTCTTAGATAATAATCACCATAAAAGAGCTAATATTTAAGTGCTTGTTGAATATTTTTGTAGACAGAGGTAACAACTGTTATTTGTGGCAAAAAAAGAGCTAAAGAAGTTCGTAGACGTTTTCGAACAGCTTGCTTTTTATCAGAGGCGATAGCAAGTTTGTTTCATTTTCTCAAGTTTATCTATTGCTCTCTAAAACAAAATGGTAAGCTTCACAACGTACGTCATTATGTGTCCCTAATACATGTTCATATTTTTTAAGATATTTGTCTAACCTTCCAACTTGTTAGTATAAACGTGGAGGTCACATGCATGGTGTAGCTTCACAAAGAAGACCAGGCCCTTCCCCTTCCTCGTCCTCGTCCCCGTCCCTTTCCTCTTCCCCTGCCCTTTCATCTAACCCTCAACCACTATATACTGATGGATAACATGGACACATTGGCCCTTCCTCCGACCCTCAAGAACATATTAGGGGACAACTTGGAGACATGTGAACTGAATCTACTTCAGTTCCATCTCCTTCAGTTCCATCACCTTCGGTTCCACCTTCTTCTTCAGTGTAACACTTGAATGATGAAGAAGATAGCCGATTCATGATATGCCCATATAGAGATTCGTAAGTACTTCATTTTTTTAAGTATATGTAAATTATTATGGATGTCAACTGAATTGTCCATGTTGCAAATTATCCATATGCTTCATTGTCCATATCGTTATAATCTGTTTGCAGATTCACGAATGCTACGTATGTTGTGAGGGAACTTAATAAAATAGTCAATAATTGTTGGATGGGGCAGTATATTAGTTGGAGCACCGCTCCAAAAGAAGTAAAAGACTTATTGTGGAATGAGTTGTAAGGACCCGGGGTCTACACTGTGTAATATTGTCCGCTTTGGGCCCACTGACCCTCATGGCTTTAAAACGCGTTACACAGAATAGAGAACCCAAGCCTTATAAACTAGCCCAGGACTCTCCCCCTAAGCGATGTGGGACAAGAGACATGCCCCCCCTTGCCATCCTAGAAGCCTGCCCTTGCAGAAATTACTGTTCACGAGCTGTGGGTGTACTGTACACTGTGCTGTGGTGAGTCGTTTGACGCGTAATTGGTGCCGTTAGGTCCGTCTTGGAATTTTATGAAAATCCCGTGAAGGGCTGAAAATGATTTGAAAACATTTGAACAAAGAAAAATACTGTTTTACGTGAGAATGTGTTTTTGTGTGAAAATGATGATGTGGTGAAGTGTGGGGTGCAAGTGTGCATGGAATTTGAGGCAATGGCATGAGAAAGTGAGTTGGGATCTGGCCGAGTATCATAAGCTCGGGCAACGATCATGTAGGTCTGTTGCATTTGGCACGGGCTAAGGCTCAAAAGAGCATGATTGAGTTCGGTCCGAGGCACGATCAGCTCGGGTGAGACCGGGATTGGACCAAGGCATTATAAGCTCGAGTTCCGATCATGTAGGCCTGTCGCATTTGGTGCGGGCTGAGTGTTGGTCACAGTGTACCTGAGGCGTATACGTTTACGCAGGTCACTAGCGAGTGATGTGGGAAGTAATGAGTGGTCGCAGTGTACCTGAGGCGTGTACGTTTACGCGGGTCACTGGCGAGTATTATGGGAAAGAAGAATTGAGAATGGAAAGAATGAGAAAGTGGAGGTGGAATGGGCGTATGTTGAGTGGATCGAAATCGTGTTATGTTCGTTGGGTGAGTGATTTGTGGAAAATTTGTATGTTGTGTCTTGTGTTTTCAAAATAAATTTTTATAAGTGGACTATTGTGCAGGTTGCGTGTGTCGAGAGTCCAGGTATGTGTATTCGTGTGTTTTGTGGTGGTTTGTTTGGTCATGTGTTTATCTATGTCTGGAATAACGTGATAGCCTAGGTAGGGTTTATGTTACAACTTATTGAGAAGTGTCTCATGGTTGTATAAACCAAACCATTTCAGATCCCCCGCCTGAGCGATGAATATTCCGCCACCGCCACCAGAACGTTTCGGAGCCCTCAGTAGATGGGACGATATAAGGGGATTCCGACTCAGAGGACGAAGAATCGGATTTAGAATGGACGCCTAGTAAGGGGCGTAGGGAGTAATATCCGGATATGGAATAGGTTTTTGCGAGTACCATTTTTGTATGGAAAGTTGACCAGGTCATAGGCCCTTTTTGTTACTGACCGTAGTGGTGTGGCGAGTACTTGTATTTATGGTGGCTTGTACGTGTTGGGGTGGCTTTGTAATTGTAAATATTTTGGTATAAGTTTGGAAATGAGATATGGATATGTATATTCTCCCTTAATGCCTCCCCAATTTTTATATTGTCCAGGATTAATTGTAATATCCGCTGTGGTTGTAAATCTCTGATGATTATTTGAGGTCGGCGACATTCCTGGGACGTCGCACTCATCGACTAGGTAAGGGGCGTCACGTGTCCATTGGGGTTCGGGGCGTGACATTGTCTGAGTCGAGTCAGTCGCTTGAGCTGCCACTCTGTGTCCTACCATGGCAATTCCTCTGCCAAACGCACATGCAGAGAGTTCTCGATGCTTTGGGTGTTCATAGCAGCTTTTGGGATGATATCCTAAGAATTATTATGCGCACGGCATTTCGAGGATCGGGTCATGGCCATCAACAGTTTAACATGAACATAAATTTGGATTTGGCCACGAAAGAGGAAGTCGAAATGGAAGACATCACTGGAGGATATGAGTCGGATACTGACCAAGTCGCGCAGGGTGTCTCCAGAAGCACCATCGAGAAGCTCGAGTGGAATAGCTGCTCTGTTTGGGACGGTGACGGATGTTGCTGCATTTGTTTAGAGGAACTAAATGGGGCGGACAAAGTGATGGAGATACCGTGTTCACACCTCTTTCACAGCAAATGCATTGTCGAGTGGCTTGAGGCGAACGATTCATGTCCGCTGTGTCGTGGCAAAGTAGAAGTAGAAGATCCTGAGTAGTTGGTTTTAGTTTGTAAGATTTTCTACTAAGAAATGAATTCTCTTTTTTCCGATGCATTTAGTGATTTGTTGCAATTACTTTGGGTACTCAATGCAATGCCTAGCTCAAGTGGGTACTCGATGCCATTCTCATATATGCTAATCAAAAGGGATCCACTTAGCTTCACGCTAGCACAAACTTTAACCTCAGAAAAACATCCGAATGGCCTTATCAAACCAGTCGATCCTAAAAGATTGTGCTTCGTCAGCAAGCCCGCTGCTATACGTTTTTGCTGCTTACTGAAGTTGGTATTTCATGAGTACATCAATGATGTCCGATGCTAGTTTTGGTCTTCTAAAACATTGAGGTTTTATGTACTGTGTTTTTTAGGCTGAATGAGTTCAATTTGAGATGCGTTATAGGTTCAGAAGTTCCGAAACAGCTAGAATATCATCATTTGTTAGTCTGGATGTGCAATTGATCATATAATTCAAAGATTTGCTGCTTGGATTCTAGATAAATTCTTAAAAGCTATTAAGTACAAAAAACATGTCCTTTCGCATATGTAAAATCATAGCGACGATGGTCGGGAATGACTTCCGAGTGATTTAGTTTTGCGTGATTACGTTGCGTGATTTGATTTCTTGATAAAGGACAGAATACAAATATTCTTTATATTGGAAAACGAAAAAAGTATAACTAATTGAAGGTCGACTAAACTATGGGCAGTAATACTATTTAAGAACCGAAATTGCATGATCTCCAATGAAGCAAATGAATTATGTTTCATATACCTGAAGTTCACCGAAAGAAATTTACAAGCACATGTCAGGGTTAAATGCATCTAAGTTCACCAACGTGAGCTTTTTAACTCATTCATACAACCGAACCAGTCATCAAACATCTCAGCAATCACTCCTAAATGGGACTAATGGGTTGACCTGAAAATGCATTTGAAGAATCACATCAATCTCGGCGTGAAGCATGCTCTTTGCTAATCAATTACGGTTCCTCGAGTGACACCCAAGTAAACCCGAAAAACACAACATTCAATTGAATGCTTGCAAGCTCACGTGCATCATCGTTTTGTTACTGTCGAAAAAAACCTGTGATATCTGAGTAGATACTAGAGTAGCCTTCTCGATGAAACCAAGTAAACCATCCATATCGACAAAAACTCAATTTGAAAACCAAGATTACCTACATGTTTAGCTAATTAATCTTCCAGAAACACAAGGTTGAATCTGGTCACAAGAAAAAAAAGAGAGAATGAAAAAAACACAAGGATGGAAGGACGAGACAGGGCATGGAAGGTAGGTCCGGTAACCACTATAACATAAAAAGTTACTCAAAATGGTCGCAGGACCATCCTGTCTCTCTCCAGAGTTGCATATACATACATCAACACTAATACGTCGTTAATTACTTGAAAGAGGAGATTACATTTGACCGCTGGATATGGAAAAACATGAATAGTGCGGTGCATAGTTAGCGATGCCTCTAAAAAAAGGGGCCACGCATGCAGAAATTCTATTCTGAAAATCTCTTGATGCAGCTCATGCCCGCCAGTGATCAAAACCGAGTTTTGCGCCAGTGCACCGTGTGCTTTGTGTCAGGAGGCACCACACGTTGTGATTCTACACTTGGAGTGAGAGGGGCTTTCTAAATTTAATTGGTAAAAGGACACTATAAGTGCCATAACTTGTGTACGGAGATCACTTTGGTGCCATAACTTTTTTTCGGATCACTTTGATGCCAAGTCGGAGGAAAAACGATCACTTAAGTGTCATAAGTTTTTTTTGGATCACTTCAGTGCTAAAATTTTTGAAAAACGATCACTTAAGTGCTAAAAAATTTTTAAAACGATCATTTAGGTGCTAAAAATTTTGAAAAACGATCACTTAAGTGCCAATCTCTGACGAGCCACGTCAGCTTCAGAAATTAATAAAAAAAATGCCACGTCGGATTTCCGGCGAAAAATTGTGTACGGCACCGGAGTTGACACTTAAGTGATCGTTTTTCAAAAATTTTAGCACTAAAGTGATCCAAAAAAAACTTATGGCACCAAAGTGAGCGCCGTACACAAGTTATGGCACTTGTAGTATTCTTTTGCCAAATTTAATTCCTGTGGGATCTCCTACGGATACCATAAGGTGACCTGCTCCTCAAGGGCTTAAAGAACATGTATATTGACTTTCAGTTAAATTCTATAGTGGATAATTTTATAATAAATAATAGAGAACTGCATGGATTTATAATTCTTTTACTTATTTCTATTAAATTATCACGGTCAAAATAATCTCTCGATCTTTTACACTTCTAATTTCTCATCGTCTCTCAAAAAACACATAATTACCATGAATAAGAAGACATCCAATAAACCCGTGAAGATGTTCCATTTCTTCGATCCCGAATCTCCTCCAATCATCATCGATCACTCGCCACTGGTACCATCAACGGTCTCTTCATCCTGCGTTTCCATTTGAAGGCGTGAGTGGATCCTGTGGTGGATTAATGACTCCAAGAAGTGTTCTGCATGCATAAATTTCACCAAGGGGATGGTTTGTCCTGCATTTAGTGCAATAAGCAAAGTCCCATCCACTTTAAGAATCAGCGAATATCTCTCCATGGAAATGCCCACAAGCCCTACAAAATGAAAGGAAAAGGGATGGCACGTCTGAATGCGAAGAATTGGTGCAACCCCCTTAGGTCTCTGGTTTTGCATACTGGCAAAAATGATTTTCCTGAATAAGCAAATTGAAAACTTTAGTTGTGGTTATGAAAATTTTAGGAGGAATTTAACTGATTAAAAGAGCAATGCAGATACTTTTCAACCGGCCGCCCGTCGCCGGCAGGGTTCGCTTCGTCGGTCCATAGGTGTAAATATGTGTTCTTGTTCACTTCAACTAGTTAATTGATAACCTTCTTTCATGTCTTTATTCATATAAAGAAACAACTTCCAATGCCATGTTTCCTTAGATAAGGTTTGGGAGCAAAGTTTAAAGTTCTGAGACATTGGAGTGTACTGCATCCTGTTTTCGTGCAAGAATGTAGCATTGCGCAAAAATAGAATCAGATAATACACACTTTTCGATGTCGTGCCGAGATAATTCAAGGTTAGCTCATCAAAAAACACAATAAAGTCAACCAATTGCATCTTCTCAAAAGAGTTGACTCGTATACATTTGAATCGGAAAAGACCATTCATCACTTCGTGGGAAGAATAAAAGAAACTCTTGAGCTATAATCGTGCTCTCTTTTTGACTTTAACCAATCACATGCCAGTATTCAGGAAAGAAAAATCCTATCGCAAAAACCATCCAATAGAGACTCAAGCTGCTGCATGGCTTGCGCCACAAGCATCCTATAACAGAACTTGCACGCGATTGAGTCCCATAACATCCCACCGATCTCCAACACTTGTCTCTTGACAAAACAGCTCGTTCTAATTCACGTTCAGCGCGTAGCTCCTTGGCGACGTCCAGTAGCGGAACACGAGCCGGAGCTTGGTGCCCATGTCTGCATCCCTCACGGCAACGTCCTTCCCTTCCCTGCTCACGAGTCACGACCCGCCCCACCACACCATCTGCTCGCCCATCCACTGGAGCATGTGGGACATCATACAGCCCCACGGAAGCAGGAGCTGCGACAAGTGCCCGAGGTCACCATCTATCAGCTTCTTCTTGATCTTCCACAGATCCTCATAGAGCGCCAACTTCATAAAGATGTCCGAGCAAAATAAATGGGAAGTTACAAATTACATACAACTCCAAGCCCTTCCAAACCTTGCCAAGGCATCCCCCATTGCAGATGTCTTTCTTCCCCTTGAGTAAGAGTAATGCATTCCATCCAAGTACACAAGTTTTTTTCTTTCTTTTTTGCTCTTCCTTTCATACAAATAAGAAGCTTCAGTGCAACTAAAGAGAAAGGGCACTTACAGAGAAGTGTGTCCACCATGCACTTGTATGCCCCGAAGATCCTGAGCAACCAGAGCCCATTCAAGAGCCAAACCCTCCTTTGAGAAAAAAAATCTAATTAACTCAAATATGAGCAACCAGAGCCCATTCAAGACCAAACCCTCCTTTGAGAAAAAAATCTAATTAACTCAAATATTTTAGTCAGCGTAAAACTAGTCTTCACATTTCAGATAAGTGCTCGTAAAAACTCTGCTATCCCCGTGATGTAATTAAAAGAAAACTACTTAAGAAAGCAACGTTCTTATCTTAAAGTCCAACGACAGCAAGTTTACCAAGCCATCTTGTCCCCACAGGAGGCCTGATACCTGGCTCTTAGCAAAGAGATAGCGAGAGGGGCAGACCAGCCAGATATGTTGCAGCAAGTTTTCCTGTGCAAGGTGGGGTTGCTGAGGATTTCCCATCCTCTCTATGGCTAAATCTCCTAAGAAACTTTGAATTATCGAACATGAGTAGTTCATTGGAGACCTGATTATGTCCATTTTTAACTCGTTTGAGCAGCACCCCCGATCATCGGAGCTTTTTCCCCCCTAAGGCAATGACCGGGTTCCACGTTTTGCATAAACGGAACACAAGGTGGAGCTTGAGTGAGGCAAAGATCAAAATGCAGAGAGGACGAGCAGTTAGTAATCTCTCTCTTCCACATTGGTTTACAGGAAGTCTGCTGCTTCTTCTGTGCGCCGTATTTGCCAGTATACTCTTGGATATGTCACCACCTGATCAACAGCTTCCGTTGAATTCTCCACGGGTGGCTTCAGAGGCCGGAAATTTCCATTCCTGGGGATTAAAGATGCTGGCAAGTTCTCCTCATCTTCTGGTGCCATCACTGACCTCGGCTCTGCGTGCGTGTCCGTCAATCTATGCCTCGACCCACTTGACCTCAAACCCCTGGAGTTTATAGGAGTCTTCCGGGCAGGGGAACCAGGGTTGGCCCTTTAGGTATTAAAAGAACTCTTTGGGGACAGAATCCATGTCCACGTAACAATTTATGGCTTTGGCATCAGCATTCGGCGCAGCCCAGTAATCAGACTGAATCAGAGATAAGCGTTTCCCATTACACTATTAAGAGAAAAAGACACAAAAAACAAACAAGTGACAAGTGAACAGGAGGGCAGATGAAACCATACACCTTAGAGTTCTCCTAGCACGAGTTACATCGACTTTCATTCGACGAACACATGACATTACAAGTGAACAGGAGGGCAGATGAAACCATACACCTTAGAGTTCTCCTAGCACGAGTTACATCGACTTTCATTCGACGAACACATGACATTATAATGATATCACATTCTTGGCCTTGGAAAGCGCCCACAATATTTATAAAAAGATCCTTCCCTTCTTCTGAATTCAGAACCTCCTGAAAGTCACGTTGAAGGCACTTGAACTGCAACCCGTAAATCCACGGAATACTTCCCCACACCCATAGATTTCGGTTCGGTTCGGTTCGGTTCGGTTCTCCAAAAAACCCTAACTCTCCATTGCATCCGCACCACGACTCAGAAGGAAGCAACACGCGAGTGTTGATAGCACAACCTAGAGGAATTGAATCAGAGAGAGATGGGCAAACCCGAATCCCTGCTACAATCTCTCGTCAAATCCAGAACACGCCTCTCGAGCCACACAATCTGTTGACGGGTTCAAGCGGTACAGAAGAAGCGTGAAAGACGGAAGAGGGATCGGCGGCGAACTGCGTGGTGGACTGAGAGGGCATGAAACCGCCGCCGGAGAAAGCGGCGGCGCCGTCGAATTGGCTTCCGAACATGGCTATCTTCTCCGGATGCTGCGAATTCCAAACCCTAGAGGGGATCGAATACCAGTTTTTTTTTTTTCACGAAAAATCAGTTATTTAAAAAATAGAATTTGACGGCTATTGATTAATTTCATTTTTTTTATAGATAATAGGTATCTTTGGCTAGATAATTAACTACACGACTTTCACATGTTATTATTATTATTATCATTATTTATAATTCTCGGGTTCATATGGATTTTGATTTCGATAATCAATTTATAATTAACTACACGACTTCCCATCATAATTGGTTAGATAACTTCGCACATTTGAGTCTAGTAATTTTTTCTATTATCATGTAAAAAGTATGATATAGTGCTTTATTAAAAATAATTCTTCTAGAGTAACACTAAAAGTGTAAAATACGGATCACAACAATGCTGTTTTTCCGTATACTAAAATTTTAATATTCGGCTTACTTTTTATTTTGGATTTCAATAAATAATGACACTTATATTATTGTATCAATCTCGATCTTACAATACTCAAGACTTAATCCTGTCCTTTAATGTTTTATTTCAATATTAAATGATCATCTTGATTTGAAATAAGGAAACTCGTTGATCTTATTAGTGTTTTTAGCTAGGACTAGCAATCTTTGGCACGATTAGGCTACACAACATGTATAAAGCTTGTTTTTATAAGTTTAATCGAATTTGGCCATAAATGGATCAACCCATTTATACATGAAAAATATATGTGTTACATGTGCGCCAACTATTTTAATCTATTTGTCACTCTAAAACACGTATAGTTTAGATGCAGTATGATTAAAATTTTATAGCAAGAGTTCGCATTGTAAATGTGCTAGATTGTATCATCTGCCCTTTTCAATAAATGAGGTCAATAAACTTGTTGTGTTCGAATTTGCACTAAATTCGAAATAATACAATTTTATTTGTAAGGTTCTCTTCATTATCGTGATGACTTATTTCCTCATTTGGCACTAAACCTAATACGCATGCAATTTGGTTTAGCTTTAATTTTCAGTTAATTAAATAGCCGGTTGAGGAAAGCAATAATAGTTCTAAAAGAGGAAAGAAAATATGCAATTAAGGCAGTTGCCTTATTTGAACGCCAGGAGCCTTGTGCACAAAACAGGAAAGTCGAGTTCGCCTCCTAAGACAACCGACCAACGGCTATATAAGACCGCTAGTATCGCTGCTGTATGTCATCTGCAGATAGAATTTCCTATTCTCCGATTTTCCGTTCCGGTGCTTCTTCTTCCATTTGTCTCGCGATACATCTTCCAAAGCTTTCACAAAACATTTCTTGGGCTTTCTCGTGATTGGATTTCAACGTTGCCGTGAAATCCTCTTTAGTTCACTGTGGGAAGTAATAGCATGGAGACGGTTTACTGTGGATATACTTTGAGGCTGGATACAAGACATTCCGATTTCTCTGGCCTGCCGACCGCTGTATTCAACTTCTCGGTCAAGTGGCACCATTTGCTAGTGTTCGTGGATCAACTGGGGGAGCCAATAAATGTTCAAGACACTACGTTGTCTGAGTCGAGTCAGTCGCTTGAGATGCCACTCGGTATCCTACCATGGCAATCCCTCTGCGAAACGCACGTGGAGAGAGTTCTCTATGCTTTGGGTGTTCATAGCAGCTTTTGGGATGATATCGTAAGAATGATTATGTGCACGGCATTTCGAGGATCGGGTCATGGCCATCGACAGTTTAACATGAACATAAATTTGGATTTGGCCACGAAGGAGGAAGTCGAAATGGAAGACATCACTGGAGGATACGAGTCGGATACCGACCAAGTGGCGCGGGGCGTCTCCAGAAGCACCATCGAAAACCTCGAGCGGAAGAGCTGCTCTGTCCTGGACAGTGACGGATGCTGCTGCATTTGTTTAGAGGAACTGAATGGGGCGGATAAAGTGATGGAGATACCATGTTCGCACCACTTTCACAGCAAATGCATCGTCGAGTGGCTCGAGGGGAATGACTCGTGTCCGCTGTGTCGTGGCAAAGTAGAAATAGAAGATCCCGAGTAGTTGGTTTTAGTTTGTAAGATTTTCTACTAAAAAAATGAATTCTCTTTTTTCCGATGCATTTAGTAATTTGTTGCAATTACTTTGGGTACTCAATGCAATGCCTAGCTCAAGTGGGTACTCGATGCCATTCTCATATATGCTAATCAAAAGGGATCCACTTGACTTCACGCCAGCACGAACTTTAACCTCAGAAAACAACCGAATAGCCTTATCAAACCAGTCGATCCTAAAAGATTGTGCTTCATCAACTAGCCCGCTGCTACACGTTTTTACTGCTTACTGAAGTTGGTATTTCATGAGTACATTAATGATGTCCGATGCTAGTTTTGGTCTTGTAAAAGATTGAGCTTTTCTGTACTCTGTTTTTTAGGCTGAACAAGTTCAATTTGAGAAGCTTATATGTTCAGAAGTGCCGAAACAGCAAGAACATCGTCATTTGTTAGTCTGGATGTGCAATTGATCACATAATTCAAAGATTTGCTTCTTGGATTGTAGATAAATTCTTAAAAGCTATTAAGTACAAAAGACTTGTCCTTTCACATATGTAAAGTCATAGTGACGATGGTCGGGAATGAGGTCCGAGCGATTTAGTTTTGCGCAGTTGCATTTCGTGATTTGATTTCTTGAAAAAGTACAGAATACAAATATTCTTTATATTGCAAAACGAAAAAAGTATAACTAATTGCAGGACGACAAAACTATGGCAGTAATACTATTTAAGAATCGAAATAACATGATCTCCAATACCTGAAGTTCATCGGAAGAAATTTACAGGCACATGTCTGGGTTAAATGCATCTAAGTTCGCCAACTTGAGCATTTTTAATTCATTCATACAACCAAACCATTCATCAAACATCTCAGCAACCACTCCTAAATGGACTAATGGGGTGACCTGAAAATGCATTTGAAGAATCACATCAATCTCTGGTGTGAATGGTGCTCTTTGCTAATTAGTTACAGTTCCTCGAGTGTCACCCAATTAAACCCGAAAAACACGACATTCAATTGAATGCTTGCAAACTCACGTGCATCATCGTTTTGTTAACGTCGAAAACAACCTGTGATATCTGAGTAGATACTAGAGTAGCCTTCCCGATGAAACCAAGTAAACCATCCATCGACAAAAACTCCATTTGAAAACCAAGATTACCTGCATATTTAGCTCATTAATCTCCCAGAAACACAAGGTTGAATCTAGTCACAAGAAAAAAAAAGAGAGAATGAAAAAAAACACATGGAAGGACAAGACAGGACATGGAAGGTAGGTCCTGTAACAACTATAACATAGCAAGTCACTCAAAATGCTCGCAGGACCATCCTGTCTCTCTCCGGAGTTGCATATACATACATCAACACTAATAAGTCATTAATTACTTGAAAGAGGAAATTACATTTGACTGTTGGATATGGAAAAACATAAATAGTGCGGTGCATAATCAGTGATGCTTCTAAAAGCGGGGCCACGCATGCAGAAATTCTATTGTGAAAACCAAGCTTTGCGCTTGCGAGCTCATGCCCACCACTGATCGAAACCAAGCTTTGCGCTTGTGAGCCGTATACTTTGTGTCAACAGGCACCACACTTTCCCTTTTGTCCTCATCTGTTCTTTCTTTCTCATAACCCACTCTCTTCCCACTCCTCTCCTATTTAGTTTCTGTTATTTCTTTGGCCAGTAGTGCCTAGCAAGATACTAACCTGCATTTGAAAAGAGAGCCAAACGAAAAGAAAATTGCCCCAGTCAATATTTACATGAGAACACTTGCAAAAGAATGTTCACATAAAAATACCAAATGAACGGGGGGAGAGAGAGAGCGAGAGAGTTTCTTATGCAAACCCACATATAGAATGAGCCTAAAAATGAATTTGATATGCAAATCCATGCTCAGAACAAGTCTAACATAATATTCAACTGTAAATTATGATGCAAACTCACTGTTCGATTGTCTTCATCACCACTACTATCATCGGAGGGACTCTCCCCATCTTCCTGCTCTTGGTGCTGTTTTCAACAATGATTTCGAGGTAAGTTCATTTTTCTTTGCTAAGATTCTCATAAAGGCATTTATCCGAATTACTATGGCAGCGCTCAGCCTTTATCTAGAACATTAAGATTCTTATCTCATCCACACAGTCTAGAGCACTTATTCTGCAACCAAAGCCTTTGTATAATCTTTTGTTAAATGGCACTTCTCTTGCTTGGACTTGGCATTAGACCGTCCTTAAAAGAAAACTGAAAAAAAGAGGAAAACTTGTCATGACAATTACAAGCAACTCTGGACATGACATTGATAAGAATCTCTACATAATCACAGACCAACTTTATTAGCTCGGTTTTGCCAGTTATCCTAGGCAACAATAACCCATTAGTAAGAGAATGGGCAAAGACAGCTAAAATTGTATTATGCGCACATTTGATAATCTCATATACAAGCTGTCGCGTATTTAAGAAATAAACTAATGAGATTATTGCGGAAATTTCTCAGAAATTTATTTATTTATTGATAGTTAAAAGAAAATATTACTGAAGGGCACCAAGGGAGTGGAAACCCGTATACCAAAAGAGCTCATAATCAAAAGAGCTCAGTTACTAGACAAATTATGTACAATGTCAATTTGAAGCATTTCCATCCACACATGACTTTCCTCTATACCAAAGGTATAAGATTTTCAACCAACTTTCAATAATTACAGAAAAGGGCGTTTCCTCTCCAATGAAACCTCTCTTATTCCGATCTCAGAAACTCAACTTTAACGGAGGTCTTCCAACAGACAGAATATATACAAAGATATGCACAGCATATGTTGTTCCATCAATGTTGAACACTAAAATAAGTTTTGGTAATAATATAGGTACCTGTATGGGTAGTCAGCCACCACACCACCTGCAAATCCAACATGCGAGGCAGAACTCAAAATCAACTCACGATGGGCTATACTTTCTGGGTAAACTTGAAAAAACTGTTCTTTTCTCCCCTTGCTAAGCATCTATACGACAATCCAAAAAATGCCCTAAAAACAACCAAGACGAAGTTCGATTATAAGCCAGCCAAATAGGGAGTAGGAGTTCTGCATGATAGAAAAGCAGAAAAGAAGAAAGTTTTTTCTCGTTTAGGACAATCATCCAGTTATCGTCCAATACTAAGGAACATACTTCAATCTTAACCGTGGCTCGTGCGAGGACTTATCTGCATTGCATAACCACTGCTTGAAAAACAGATATAGAATCAACAAACTACAGAAAAGAAACCGAAAAAGATTGCTAGTTACCCAGTGTAGAAACTTAGAGAATTTACAGAGAGTACAGCAAGATTACGAAATAAGAATGTTTAACATGCAAAATTAAAGATGGAAGACAAACAAAATGTATGGAACCGATACAACAATGACAAAAGGTTTATCACCAGGCTACATTCCTTTGGTCCTTCAAACCCAACTATGCTCAAGTTCTAAACATTTCATGTGCACACTTTACCCCATGAGTATCCACTTAATAACAAGTCATTCTAATGTGGCATTCATTTGGTGTCTAACTAGCAGATAAAGGGGGAAAGACAGAGAGTTGAAGCTACCACAGTTGAAGCACAACAGTAGCTACTTTCTTTATATCTCTGCAGGGAACTTTTTAGAGTTGATTGCAATATTAGCTGTTTCATTCTATCCATGTGGCCACACGATAGATGCAAATCAACAATGTTAACAGACATGGGTTCAAATACACAATGATTTCTAGGGAAAGCAAGAGCTTAGAATAATAAGGATTTACAAAATGCAGCTGCAAATCATTTAGGGGGCAGAATGCCAGCAAATCTTAGGGTGTGTTCGTTTCACAGAAAATAATTGATTTGGAAAATATTTTCCAAAAAATAATCGCTTATATCTTTTACAAAAATAAATGAATAGAAATGTTTTCATCTTTCACGAAAATAGTTAGGCATAGATTGTTATCAATGATGAAAATATTTTCTGTTGACTAATTTTTATAAACGATACAAGCAATCATTTTTTGGAAAATGTTTTATAAATCACTCATTTTCTGCGAAACAAACGCACCCTTAGATGTAATGCAAGTTCATCAGACACTATACAAAAAGATAAAAGGCTACTCCGGTGAGTATTCACCCAGAAACTACATATTTAGGGAATAAACAAAGAGTTTTCAGAGCACAAAGAAATAAACAAATAGCTGCTCAAAGTAACACCATCAAATTCTTCCAAATCTATATAATAAGTCCGGCATCACACAATAGTCATTAAATACTTCCAGATATTCCACATCTAGATGTAAAAGACCCTGCAAGACATGTCTACATCCACATGTTGCAACTATATAAATTAACCTGAACACTGGTGCTAAAGCCCACCATCTATCATATTGACACCAGCCCCTGATCGATGCACCAAAACTTGAGAGTTACAAGAAAAATTTATTTGCTGACACATGCTTACAGATTTCAAGTAATTGCGCAATGAATTATCACTTGATGTAATGAATATTGTAGCTTCCTTTACTATGCAGAACAGTCTTATCTAAGATCTTACCAAGGATATTAACATAATCGGTCCTCTTTTAAAAACACTAGTCTTGGGAGAAACTTTAATTAGATCCACTGCACAAGTACCTTAATATATCCTCTAAATTATACCAGCTGGATTAAGCCACATTTACTTGAGCCTGACAAGAAAAAAGTAAAATCTTGTTTCATAGTCTAAAACAAGTGTGCTCTTTTTGGTACTTACACTAAGGAACCCAATAATACAGAAGCTCAACTGCTACTTACTACTTTTTGCACTATTAAGTGTGAGTGTAGTAATTCTGTAGCTCCAAATGAAGATTAGCTCCATATAACATCCAAGAAGAGAACTCCTATGGAGTAATATCATTAAAATGATAATGAACACAATAAAGTGAACCTGAACACAGAGATACTGATGGCTCCATCAATAACACCAGGTCTAAGTCCCAAAGCCTACAACACAAAATTCACCAATAAAAACAATGGCAAAGAGATCAAGCGAATTATATAAGATGCGGAACGATCAATACCATCAAATTTGACAATTGACAAGACCAAGTACAATATGCCAGCACAAAGTTCTTCAAAAATAGAGAAAGCATCAAGCACGCAAGCACATATACTCCATAACAACTGCCATCACATTAATATTGCGTGTTAAAATTCTGGCCAGCCAGTTGATCATCTCTTTTTTACTGTCAGGTGTCTTTTGCTATTTGGACTACGGTTCCGGTTCAACCAAGATGGGATCACCTAGGTAATGCTAAACAATGGGACAGAGATGATTCTTAATGGAAATGGCATAGAGGAATCAGAAACACCAAGAAAACTCCAAAATCCTTCCATTATCTAAAGGTGCGCTTGTTTTTCCGAAAAATGATTAGTTATATTGCCTATAAAAATTACTCAATGAAAAATACTTTCATTATCAACAACAATTCACGCCTAACTATTTTCGGATACGATGAAAATATTTTTCATTCATTCATTTTGTGAGCAAAATAACTAAACATTTTTTGGAAATTTTTTTCCAAATTTTGAGTTCTCCTTCAAACAAATGCACCCTAATATGCAGAACTTAAAGGCATGGAAGGAACAAAAGGAATTTTGAAGGCTTGGGATCAAATCAGCAAAAGTTGAACAGCCTTGTTCTATATTCTTCCGCAGAAAAACAACTGTTTTTTATTTGGTTAGGCCTTTTCATTTGCTTTTCTATTTTCTTTCTCTCTTTTTTTTTTTTGACTTTCCGATGTATGTAGTTCATGGGTACTCAATGTAAAACTCTGTTCTATTTCATTAATGTGCCTATTCATTATAATAACTAAAGAGACAGAAAACAATGGCCGCTAAAAGCATTAAAGGTGAAGTAGGAGAAAGAGTCAATGTGCAGAATTTCCTCAGATTTAGAAATAATACAGCTCAAAAGCTTTAAACTGGTCAATACCTGACCCATGTCCCCAAGCAAAACCTCACCTTCTGCCTCTCTCTCCAATGCGAAGTCTACATTTGAACAGGCAAATGGAATATCAAAATCTGAGCAAACTAACACAAATTCTCAAATCAATAGGTATGGACATTTCCATACCAAGCATTGACGGCGAAATGTCCAAACCAATCCAGACGTGTCCATTTTCCGATAGCCGTCTCCCCCACTTAATCCAGATCCGCAACCCAGAAAGACCCAAAATGTCAATACAACATGATCAACCATCAAACCTCCCTGAGCTTTACAAACACTCCTCACGAGAAATAAGGAGAGAAGTATCCTCATCAAGCAGGTGATGATATCAAAGCTAAGAAAGTATAACCGAGCAATAAGGTCTCGAGCCGTAATTTAACAAGAGGAGTTGATGGGTTGTTCATTCCTGAAAACCTAAAGCCGAAGATGCAAGACCCCGGCAAGCAAATTGACCATGTCTCTTCATCAACCCAAAAGCTTACCCAATGTACAGGAGACATTCTTCAATACTGCCCAATAGGAGTTCCAATCATCAGTCATAAAACATCGTGTATTCGGGTCAAAGACATCGCAATCGCACTCCAGATAAGTTCTCCCACCGTCTCATCAACCTCCACCGGATGTCGATCAAGTCAACATCGCCCTCAACGCGGAATACACGTACCCAACACTTTCAAATCAAATTCAAGCACAAGCCCACTCAGCACTCGCAGAAGGAAGGGGGGATACCGGTGTCAGGGAGCAATCACGGAACTCCGCCGTCCGGCGAAGCAAGAAGCTCCAAAGCTCTCTCCGACAGCCGACACAACCGTGAATGTACTTGCGAGCGTCGACGTCGGTGTAGAGTATCTCGGGCGGCGCCTGTATTTCTGGTCGGGATGCCATTGACAGAGCGACCGGAAGAAGAAGAAGCTACTCACGAACTGAGTTCGGGGACGGAAGTTTCCAGCCGAGAAGAACCGACGGCGTTTCCTGTAACTTTTTTTTTTGAGGTGAATATTACGAAAAACCTTGATATATCTGTCATAAATTTATTCCTAACTAATTTTTTGATCACCAAAAATCTCAAATTGATACATTTATGACAAATTTATCATCCGTTAACTTCCATTAAATTAGATTAATATCACAAAAAATCACAAATTGATATACCTGTGACAAACAGAAGGTAAAACTCCCAACCGGTACACTTGTTAACTACCACGTGCCATTCGATTTTGTAATTTGACGGTAAAATTTAACAGAAACTAATTGAGAGTAAATTTGTTATGGGTGTACCAGTTTGGGGCTTTTGATGGTCAAAAAATTAGTTTTTGGTAAATTTATCAGGAACGTACCACTTTGAGATTTTTCGTGATATTAACCTTTAAATTTTTTTCGAATTTCGAGACACGCACTTTGATTTCCATTTAATGCAACTCGTCGAAAATATTATTGGGAGCAATACATGAAATGTACACATGGTTATTTTAGAGTATTTCTAAACATAGTATGAGAACTATATATTTGCACGCTAGTGACTTCCAATCAATCTCCCCCGATAGATCATATTGTTAATCTATGGTTATAGAAAGAGGGGCTCGTGTATATTGTATATAGAGGGATGTGCTCCCTTCATTTGATCATCTACTGAGGCAGCACGAGTAAGCGAATGCTAGAATCTACCGTTATAGAGAGAAGTTATAAAGAGAGCGGCTCATGTATATAGGGTGGAATGGCGCATCACATTTAGCACAAGTGGCGACCAAAGTTTCTAAGCATATATTTGAAGGACACCTGTGAGGTGACAGGTTGCATAGATAATCTAATGAAGCTTCAGATTCAAGAAGTTCAAGACCATCCTCCTCCAGTTCATCTTGATTTGTCCCGTTTCCATTCGACAGAGTCCCAGACAGCATAGTGCTTATCATCCTTCGACCCATAAAGGCACCAATTCTGACAGATCCATAATCTGCACCTCCGATACTGCCAATTGAAAAGACCAATTTATCCAAAGCTAGAACATAATAGAGACCTAAGCAAAACTCGCACACGCTACAGACAACCATAAGCACCGATTGAGGGTGAAATGGTGTCCATGGTGCCTCAAAAGAAAGGGCCACGACCATAGTAGAAAGGTTGTGAGCCACAGGAAAAAGTGTCTCCAGGGAAAGCGAAGGACCTAATCACAGTCATAGAGAGGCACCCCTTCAAGAAGCTATGAAATAAGTGTTTGTGCAAGAAGGGAAAATGTACACATATTTCTCAAGTTCACCATTACATTTTTCAGGGATAAAAGATTCTAAAATGAAACTGAAAATGGGATTATAGAGGTTTTCCTTCTGTTGTTTGGGGGGTGGGGGTAATTAGCTTGAGAAGGCACGATTTAAATGCAAAATTCAATCCTGATCTAATGAGGAAAAGGTAAAAACACTTGGAGAAGAAACAAACTAGGCTTGAAATAATCTGAGCCAGTGATAAGAAAGCAGATCTTCTGTCAAAACCCACAATTATGAACAGAATTAAAAGACACACAACTGGCGGCTTGGCCAAAAAACAGTACATGCTTGCATCAAGCAAGGTGGCTGAGAGTGATAAACCAGAATCAGAGAATCAAAACAACCACACAACTTATACCTGTGACGAATTCCTGAATCAATTCCCCAGAATCGGACATGACTGGGAATTTCTACAAGTCCAATCACCTCAGCAGGCTGCACAGCACAATTCTCACATCACTTTTCATTCAACAAGCTCGGAAGATCTTTTAATCAAGCCTGAAAATCTTACCTAGCAGACCATGGCAAGAAGGTTGTTTGCTTCCCCACAAGCAGAAGTCATCTGGTCCATTACACCGCACGGAGCTCCAACAATGTGGTTCTCTACCTATTGCATATGTTTTTCCAAAATTACAAGCGGAACCAAAAGATATAGAAATAATGACTCAACTGAAAATCAAGAAATTGAATAACAAATTAATTGGAAGATTGTTCTGTGAGTCACACCTTCTGGCAAAGCAAAGCAAGATCCCGCGGGCTAATGTTTAAACCCTGCCATGTTTTAGAAGATCATTAAATACATTAACTCATACAAAATTCAACATGAAATATGGTCAACACCCCTTGTTATATGTGTAGTTCTGGAAAAGCAGAACGGTGATGTCCCAGATTGTGCAAACCTATCTTGCCTTCTTTATTGATTCTCTCTCCCTCTCTCCTCGTAATCCTAAAATATTTTCAATGTAATTCTGCTCCATCACTATCAGATGTCAGTAAGATCCAATTATTCAAGTATTCTCCCAATGTTTTCTACCATGTCTCCTTGAATAGTCCCTTATCCTTTCATCCTCATATAGTTTTGTTTAAAAACAATCGTATCTTTCCTTGTCCTTTTATCCTCAAGTAATATTCCAACAGAATATATAACATACTTCTTAACTATCAACAATTGCCTGTAAGCTGGACCCTTCACGTAAATAAGAAGACATGGACATAACAACATTATACAAACAAGAGGAGGCAGAAAAACAAGCATAGTTCAACAGGAAAGTATCGGGATTCAAACATGTGACCTGTGACTCTATTACCATATAAGACATACCATTTTTCCCAAGAATAATCTATTAAATGGAAGAGACTACGTGTGTAAAGGCCTGCTATAAACCCCTAGGTAAGAAATGTGGAACTCTTCACCAAACTGTTATGTGCAAACACGGGTACTTCAAAGAAATTTTTACGAGTTGTTTTCATCCATATTTTCATCCAAGATCCGAGAGGTCCTGGATATGGTTCCTCTACTCCCTTTACCTATCCTAAGGGGAAAAAAGTTCCTCATCCTAATGAGATGCAGTCATAATTATCATCCATCGAGAAAACATAAAAACATCAACATTTTAAGTGTAATCATAGATGAGATGTTGACTAAAGAAATTTGCCATGAGCAGCAGCTATAGCAGACATGCTAGTAACCTCAATAGAGGTATATGAAGATACATCTTTGCCCTCTGGAACAGCAGAGGAAACCTGAAAGTGAAAAATTCTAATAATCGGTATCTGGATAGAGAAATCAGCATTGTGAAAGAATATCATACTTAATAGATGATAAAATTTCTAACGAAAAGCAACATCATAATCATAAATCCCCAGGAAAATGAGGGAAACAAGACAAATTTACCACAATAATGGCTCTAATAACAATCTGAACAAACAGTTGACACGTGCCAGGTACGCAATACCAAGATAGTCGAGAACAGTTGAAAGGTAGTAAAAGTCTACAGTAGTCTAGACAGCGTAGCAGGGGATGCATGTAAATCTGACGCATGCCCTTGCAAATGTACAATTCTTAGAGTCAAAACTATTTGCAACCAGACAGTGTGTAATAGCCGATATCACAGTAGACTCTGTACTTCTTTAGTAAAAGGTAAGTATCCATGCTACACCAATGAAATGCTTTTGGGCGTTGAGTATTAGAAAAAAGAACTTCCAAACAAGGAAAGTTCACAAGAAATTTTACAACAACCATAACGGACAATAAATCATGTCCAGAACCATAAGCTGATTCCAACCAACTAATACGAGGAATAAAAAGGAGTTAGCTATGCTGAATTAATAAGAAAAAGGACATGAACAAATAAAGAGTAGAAGAAAGAAAAATAGCTGAGAAAACACTCAAACGGTCAAGCAACCATATGTGACTAAATATATCTTGAACAGATGTGGTTCCTTACAAGCAAGCTGATACTGTCCTTAAAGCATACACCCACCTCTGTCATTAGAACAAGAATAGTCCCTGCAACATAAGCTGCCCACCTGAAATTGGAATTTATGTAAGTACATTGCAGGTTAACACCCAAAACGAAAGAAGATGAAAAAGAAGAAGAGATCAGATGGGACCTAAGCTCACTTTTGGGATGGATCACAGGCAAAGAACTCCTTTGCCTTCTCATATGAAATTGGTTTCCCGCCATCCATAAAGTCGGACAAATCCATGTCAAAAGTTGGTCCACGGTTGCTTAATTCTGATCCATATGATACCTAAGATGAGCATTTTCAAAAGAAGAAGAATAAATCAGGTACTTCCTAAATACAATAACACTTACTTAAAGAGTTGTTCGATTCAAAATTATAGACAAATTCCTGAAAGGCTAAGACTTGTTCTGTTCAGAATTAGAGATAAGTCCCAAAACGCTAACAATTGTCCTACATAAGAAAAATCCAAGATAAGTCTCCTTCAGGTCCTCAGATAAAAGGTAAAGATACATGTTAAACTGCGAGTAGAATTTGAAAGAACGTATTTATTGTCAACTGGAAACCCACAATAAAGAACAGGAGTTGGTCCTTGTCCTCTGGCTTGTTGGTGAGCCAGAGCATGTTTCGATAGTCTGCCTGCTTGGATGATTCCTCTGAACAGCAACATGACAGGCTTCTCGAATAGGCATCTGAATGCAGGAGGTGCTGAAGCATGTTATTGGACTAAATAACATATAGATACCTCACGCTAGTCGACTGTAGTGGTAAACCTTGCAGGAGTTGGGAAAAAGTCTCATAAAACATGACATACAGAATTTTGGAAGTTTGTGAAATTCGACCCAAGAGATATATAATTTCTAATGGAGTTGATTAATAGAGAAAAGGTTAGCAACTCAAAGTAATACTTCTCAAACTACGAGAGACCTGTTTTAGCGAATGGCAGAATGGCCACGATTATGAGAATGCAAATGGGAGTGTCAAAGAAAAAAGAAAAGGTGAGAAAAGAAAAGGATACAAATACATCCAAGTTCACCCATGCCTAGCCAAAATAAAAAAGTTCCCCAGCAAGCCACATATAGATGGCATGCGATAAAAACCCATGACAAAGCAACCAACTTGGAGCACGACCAACTATTCATGCCGTGACAAGCTTTAACTGGTGAATGTGAAATTACAAGTGAGAGTGCTTCAAGTTCTAGGTGAAAAATAGAGTGGCACCGGTAGGTAAACATGTCAACAGGAGACGGAGAAATTGTAACTGAACAGAAGGAAAACGTGTTCTGGGCATAGAGAACATAAAAGTGACAAGGCTTAAACAATGAAATGCATACGCACACGAGCTTAGAAACACAGTCACTTTTGATACAAATTACAGGTATAGTTTGACAAAACTACACTATACTGAAAGCCAGTGAAAACAGAAGAAAAGAAGACAACAGTAAAAGGATCAATGCAATTGTATTTGACGCATGTCTGCTCAATTGAACCTAAGAAAATGAAAGTCCAAGCATTCAAACAAAGGAACTTCGGCAAAGGGATGCCTTCCATAACTCTCCCTATGGTGATGAAAGGGGGTATGTCCTGAAAAGGCAAGGCAAAGCAGAAAACACTAGCAGTATGGAAAGCAAATGCATGGGACATCAAGATATTTACAAGGCCAAGCAGATAAGCAACACCCAAATGCTTTCTTGCATAAACTAGCACCTCACCATCCCACCTTTTATCGCTTCTTCACTACACAAAATGTTATTCATCCAATCTGATAATCTGCAATTCATTCACAATATAGCCTCTCCCTCTATAAAACAATTATAATTCCGTTGGAAATCCTTTTAACAATTATGAAAGATCAGGAAGTCCTACCCCAATTGGAACCCTTTTAACAATTATGTATCATCACGAAATCTACACCTAATTGACATTTTCTCCATGGGGCTCATCCGCAACGTCCTTCTAAGATTGAAACAAGCAAGAGGGAAAGAAAAAAAAAGGGTAAAGTAAAATTATTGAAGCAATTCAAGTATATGCACTTGCAACTGGCGAGAACTGAACATTCATGAATATCCAAGCACCAGCCACATTGAAAGCCAATTGATAGTTGTCATCTAAGCACAATTATTCTGAATAATCGAAGAGAACTTCAGCATCCATCAATTTAGATCATCTATTGTCTATCTATCATTAATGTCCAAATTGCCATGACAGATCTGGAAGTAGTTTTACAATAAGGTAAGATCATATGTAATGTGAAAAAAAAATCAAGTCAGAAATAGAATGTTACTGAAATAAAGGAAGGCAACAAAGACCAATGCTCTCTTTCCAGCAAGATTCTGCTAACCCAATTGACTGAAACCATTGTTGGATCGTAAAAAGTAGTAAACAGAGGACTTTCTAACCTGCAACACAAGGCTTCCTGGATAGTCAGCAATTCCACCCATTACATCTAACCTTCCAGGTGCTCGTGACAAATATTTCTTCCTGTTTAATTATTGTGAAAACAGTCAAATCAAAATTACAACATTTGCCACCAAGTCCCATACGGAAGCACCAACCCACTCCACATATACAGTAGAAGCAAGAAAAATGTTAAAAAAAATGGCCACGATCAGTTTACAGCTCCCCTCACTACACAAAAATGCAACTAAACGACACTTACAAATTACTGAAACAAAAAAGGGACACTTTGCAGAGTATCTCTCACCGACTTTTGCCAAAAATCAGAAGTCAGAAGGATTCATTACTTTTGCCCCAATGGGAACCCTTTTTGAAAGAACTAATACACAAACATTTACCTCCCACATCCCACTCATGAAATTTCCAAATAAATCCAACAGGCGTTTGATCCATCAAACTGGAAGAGGAATAAAAATGTAGAAACTAATCCAAATAAGATAATCAGACCTCCCAATTAAAGAGTCCGGCAGCTGCTTTACGCTCCCGCATCTGCCTCATCTCAGGATCCCTTCCAGCTTCACTCACAATTTCTGACAAACTCTTCAAGAAACTCACTGTATCAGAAAGCTCATGAAGATCTCCATGAAGAATTTCAAAATCATAAGGGCATCTACAAAAGGTAGAAAAATCGTGTCAACAACTGCCAACTAAGTCCAGAATTGATCGAGCATATGGCAAATGGTGAAACTAACTCACAAAGTCATTTGGGAACTTTTCTCACTCATTCCAACTTTTGGTGATTCAGCGCTAAGGCCCAGTTCATTTTCAGCGTTTGCCTACCAATCTGGTATGCATAGGTCTCTTCCAGGCATTCTTTGCAGCTGATGCCCAAGAACTATTGCGTCGCGCAGTCTACTTGCCCCACTAAACTACATTTTGTCAGCAAGAGGAACAAGATTAATACAGTGCTAGGGAAGAATAACCTAGGGTTAAGAAATAACAGTTCAATTATGATTACTTTATCTGATCCGTAATTTCTCGCAGCGGCTGTCTCCTGCAATATGTAAGCTGCTACCTGGAATTTTGCATCACAGAACATCGGGAACCAATTCAATTAGATGAACCTCACCGGCATGCAGCTGGAACAGATTAAAATGCTCAAAAAGCATCATTGCATTGAGCATTATACAATGCAGATGTGCTCTTTTAGCTCGATGCATGATGGAAGCCACAAAAAGATGGAAGAAATACAAATGCTTTGATGCAGCTAACAAGTTGATATGTGTTCAAACAAATGACTGGTTTTACCAAACTTTGGTGGATAGGGGTGTTGCATTTATCCACAACTAAAATAAGAGTCCTAAAAATATGAGGATTCTTCTTTTGGTTCAATTAATAGTCTTATCATTTAGGATTTGAGAACTATTAGGATATTATTATATTTCCTGTTTTCATCATGAGTGGAATTTAACGTTTCTTGTATAGATATTTCAACTAGGAGAAAGGCTCTTTCAGAAGAGTCTAATGTAGACTGGCACTTTTTTCTATCAATGGAGTTTATGAAGATCATTAGCAAGTTTTGCTTTGAATTGATGCAATTCTTCTCTTCACTGTGATGCTTAAGAAACCCTAAGTGTGAAGCTTTACAGGTTTAGGTATGATGCCTAAAGAGATTTACATGTTTTGAGTGGTCGTTCCGTGTGAATTCCGTTCAAGTTCCCTACAAAGATGTATTGTCCTACTATAGTCTCATAAGTTGTAGAAGTGTTACCTGGCCACCATTAATGCCACCTTCATAGCATGGTTTAAGACTGATCGCTTGTTCAAGGTAAGGTTTCCAATGGCCAGTGAGTAAGTCCCTCCTAATCATCTCTACTCCAGCTTGATAGTACTGCAGAAATCAATGCAAAAAGTTAAAATAAACACAGCACTCCCACTCCACATAAATATACATATACAGAGAAGCAGCGAGAAGTACCTTCAGCATATTCCTCAAGAATGGTTCTTCATTGAAGTAATCACGCCGCGCAAATACAAATGGACGCTTGTATGCTGAAGACTCACTGACTGAAATAAGATAACTAAGAGACGCAAAATAATGTACTTCAGATGTCGCTGCGAGTTCCTTACTCACCAAGCATACAATTAGAGGCTGCAATGAGATCAGGTGTGTATGCATCTTCAGCAAGCTTTACAAAGTTCGGTGGAAGGTTTTCGCTCTCAGATGCACCACAAACCCAAATCAAATATCATATCAGTCGTAAGAAGGTGAACTAGGGCCATAATGTAAGTGGCTTTTGCATAACGTGGGCTCTAAAGGACACGCAACGGAACATACCAAGCACAATCAACCGGGAGGCAAGTACTTTTCCTCCAACTCCAGCCTGATGGTTGCAGGCAAGGCAGATTTTGACACAAATGAATAAGAGAGCAATAGTTCAGGAAACAAACAATGCTGCTGGTACAAGTAAAAATTCCTAACTGAACATAAGTGACATATCAGCATGGTCCAAAGCACAGATTGCTAATATATTCTCACTGTTATATATGAACACATAATGCAGTATATGTAAAATCATCAGTGAAAAGATAATAAGAAGATCACATGAAACCTCAAGTTGGAAGTACTGTTGTCACGTAGTTGAAGAAACAGACCAGCTACACCCCTCTAATCTAAAGAAATTTTTTAGTTTCCAATTATTGTATCTTTGTCTTCTTAAAGCAACCCAATTATTGTGTACAAAACTATCAACCACTCAAACTAAACTCGCCTGTCCGCCAAAATGGAGGATAGCTAGCTTCGCATCATCCCAATTCCAAGTTCCTTCCTAACCTACATCGAGATACTGCATTATACACAATATTGGACTACAAAGGATGTCAATTTGAGTTTTGCCGATCAAACCTCCTTACGGGATATGTGCAACCTTCTAACAACCAACGGTACATCTATAACGTTGAGGAAAGTGGGCACTGTAAAAAAATGGCACGTGAAATTCACAATGCGGATAATGTCCAGCTGTAACTGAGATAAATAAATATAAACACCCATCACTATGACTAATCAATTTAATAACTTACTTGGCAATATCCTGGGAGCCGGATTAAGAATGCCCAATGTGAATAGTCTTCTGCTATCTGTACCAAGTCATAATTTAGTGAAGATCAAAATTTCAAGTTCCGGAATTAAATTATCTCACTATCTCAGATGTCCAAAGGGGGAAAATTAAACTTGGTCAAGAAAAGTTGAGCAACCATGAGTGTCACCTTCAGTTTCATATTATTAGGGCCTTCTAACTGAAGAACGGAAAACCACAAAGGACTATATAGTCCACATTGAGTACACTTTGTTTTTCAACTTGGTAAGATAGCGTTATCATTGTTAGTAAAAGGTTATGGTGTATGAATATTGTTTCAGCAAGAGGAGGAGGAGGAAGAGGGTTTCCCAAAAACGAAAGGGTCAATCAAGGATTTACAGAAAAGACAAGTTTAAAGCAAAAAATCTGATCGTACACGCATAACATTGGTAATTCCTGATAAGCAAAAAAGAGGTGCTGAGAAACATTTGTAATATCATAAACACCTGCCAAACTATCTTACGATGATGATTTCCCGCAGCCATTACGTATTCCGCATAGATGAAGTCCCAACTGCGCAGATCCCATCAGATAAAAGATCAAATGACATCCAGATCAAAAATCCATATTTTTATTTATTTATTTATAAATTAGCATATTTAGACATGTAGAACCAAATTTCACAGGAAAACTGTGTAAATTACAGAAATAAGCCAATCATCTCTGATAAATAAGCATTTAATTTTCCAGAAAGTCCTTACTAATTTGAAGTGACCTCAAACCTATTAAGATTAGCCAGTAGCTGAAAGAGATGAGCATGCCCCCAAAATAGAAAGAGAAAAGAACCAAAATGTGAAAACTTTAAAACCGATTACAGATGGATGCTCACGAAAGGAACTGAAATCCAAGGTACAGAAGGCGGCATTCGCGGATACCTGAAGTGGGCGACACAAACAGAGCGAATTCCAGCATCTGCTGCAGCACAGCGTGCGACTGGAACAACATCTGAAACCTGTTCATTAGCAAAAATATCATCATTACTACTGTTCCATTTTACATACAAAATCCTATCTTTAGAGAAAACAAGCAGTCCAAGAGCAGTCAACATCTCAAGCTGTAGCAATCGGTAGAGAGATCAGAGATTGAATTCACACTCAAGGATAGATGAAGCCGACGCAGGTGACATAGTACGCGAACACGAGGCGGGTCCGGGATGACGACACCCCATTGGTCTCCGGCGGCTCCAGCCTCAGGAAAGGAACTCAACATCCACAGTGGAAGTAGAAAGCAAGTTCGTTTATACGTAAGCATATAATCTTTTGTATCTTGAAGGCGCCTCGTCACCATCTTGGCAATTCTCCAGTGATCCATACCTAAATTACACTGACCCCAACATTCTCACAGCAAAAATAATATCAGGTGGAATGCAAACCTGTGCATACATCGGACAGCAGAAACATATAGGATGTTATTCGTCTGTTCCTTTTTAAATCGTTTTTCAAGTATTGGTTCAAATTGAACTTGATGAACAATCTTTCACCCGAAATCTCTTTGCTCTCTCTTCGCCCTCTCGCTTGCAAAAACGCTTCTTTGGTCAGCTAGGGATGCTGGGGAAGAAGATGCGGAGAGATGGGTCTCGAGTCTTGACGACGGAGGAGGGAGAGAGAGACGGAAGGAGAATGAAGGGGAAGCGACCAAAGAGGAAGGTCGCGATCACAGAGAGAGAAAGAGAGATAGAGACGAGGAGAAGGAAGGAAGGTGGGAAGGTGGTGACAGGGAGTCGATGAGTGTCAGCCGCAAAGATCAGATGCGCGTCAACCAACATGGATTGAAACTTTTTGTCATATACTCAGGAGAGAACTCGGTCTTGGATGGGAGTGGAGCGCACTCTCGGACCACGTCAGTGGCTTTTGGACTGTTCGTTCATCCCGCGATTCTCTTTTTGGTATTTAGAACAAAATTTTCGGTTGATAGGAGAGTCTCTAAACAAGACGTTTACTTATATGCGCAAGGCTACGCCGTGGACAGCACCAACAGCTGGTGCTTCCTTTAAGCTTTTTGAGGGTGGGGACCAACAACAAATCATTGTCGAATGGGAAATGCCTTCATCGTCACTTTTTGCTCGCATACAAGTAAACGGCTCGTCCGGCCCCTGCAACAACATTGCCTTTTAATTTTAGACGCAAATTAAGAAAGAAGGTCGAGAAAATGTAAATTACCAAGACTTGATTTTATTCTTTAGCGTATATATATATAAACACTCCTATGTGGACACCATCGTCAATCGGGCATCCATCGATGGCCTCGTGGACGGCGTCTCCGAATTTCGCCCGATTCCCACGCCAACACGCCATGGCCTCCATCAACACTTGGTTTATCTTCTCCCTCCACCTTAAACGGATGAATAGGCATAATCTAGATTAACTTTTTCTTTCTTAATAACCTGGACACGACTAGATTAAACTTCGTTTCAAAATTGGGAATCTTTCCTAAATAAAGGGATGATATTTAATAATTTGTAATAATCGCGAGGGATGATTTTGTACATACCTTAATTTTCATGATAAACCGTTTTGCCCGCGTGTAATGCACCGAATACACAGCTCGATCGATCGACGGGTTGTTATGCATGGGTTGGGTCCCTCTCATCCCCACCTACGTTGCGCACCCAAACAAGTCACGGCTCTACTTATAGTATAACTAGGAGTTCTAAGGTTAAACGATGCTCAAAGTGCAGTGTGTGCGTATGCACACGATGCATATAACGAACGCATAAATCTATATAAAAGACAATGATATGCACTCTCTCGTATTAGCTAATACATAATTCTATCATATAAGAAGACTCTCTCTCTCTCTCTCTGCGCTTGCTATGGATGCAGATTGGAATTTTTTTTTTGGGCGAAATTGGGCAATACTCCTCCTCCTCCTCTTTGTATGCTTCGTCTTCTTGGTGGTGCTCGTCAAATTATTTAACCCATCAGCCTTGACGGTTAACTGCTGCGGCATAAGCCTCAACTTGCGTCGACTAAATAGTAGTCTGTTTGGAAAATTCTATTTTCAGTGGAAACTCTGTTGAGAAGATTCGCGCAAGAAGAGAGAAGAATAGAGGACATGCAAAAAATCTGGCCCTTACTATTTGATTTTGAGGGTGGGGATCATCCTCTGCATTTTACAAGTGTATATTACTTACTGTTTAAGAAAAATAAAGGAAATTATAATGAAAATATTTTCTAAGAATGTCATATTTTTCGCGTAACGAACGGAAAATACACTTAATCATACGTGGAAAAAACTCTCGGCAATCAATACCGATGGAAGTATTTATCATGAAAATATTAAGAAAACAGTTAAGGATTTTGTGTTAAAAAATTTCATAAGAATTTCCTTTATATGATTTAATGGTCATTTAATTATATAAGATGCTTAATAAACTCAACACTTTTTATCTCGTGCAACTCAAGAGCAACCGGCGTGCAACTCGCGTGCATTGTGTAGTATTGTCCTTTTATGGCTACATTTCAATCGTATCGACTCCTTCATTTTAGATTCATCCAGTTATGCTTGCACCCATACTTATGTTGTATTTCATCCGCTTCGGAAAGTTCAAAGGATGGCTGTTTTCGAACGCTCTTTTTCAGCTAAATGTCCAAACTGGGTTGCATGTCTGTTTGATGCAATGTATAGAGGTAGAGCTTCGGACGACGTGCTGCTATCATTTCTCGTTGGGCTCTCTGGATTCTGGGATTGTCTGCGCATGCAATGTGATTTGCATATCCGTTGCACATGATTTGCACGCCCGTTACATGTGAGTTGCACGAGATAACAAATATTGAGTTTATTAAGGATCTTCTATAATTAAATGAGCATTAAACTATATATATATATATATAAAGGAAATTCTTATGAATTTTTCTAACACAAAATCCTTAACAGTTTTCTTAATATTTTCATGATAAAATACTTCCATTAGTATTTATTGCCGAGAGTTTTGTCCACATATGGTTAAGTATATTCTTCGTTCGTTTCGCGAAAAATGTGACATTTCTCTAAAATGTTTTCATTATAATTTCCATTATTTTTCTTAAACAATAAGTAATATACACTTATAAAATGTAGAGGATGAGCCCCACTGTGACATCCCCGGATTTGGGCATAGGAATAACCGAGGGTCGACCTTAGACCGCTAGTACTCGGGTGAGGATCGGTTGTAAAATTTATTGTCAAGTTATGATGAGTAAGCTATGAACGAGCCATGTACCGGGCCATAGGCCTAAAGGTTTGGCTACGGGCCGGCCATCGTGCCTGCTGCATTGGCTAGGCGGTCAGGCTTTGTACCATGTCATGACCGGCCACCGTGCCCATGTGCTCAGTCACGGACGAGCCACGCGCTCGGCCGTGTGCCTGGCACCGTGCCCGACCCTTGCACCCTTCAGATTCGGCCCCGACCTAGTCCCGTGCCGATGAAAATTGCCCGTGAGTCATGTGTTGTGCCTATGCATGAATTAATAGTTACACTTGAACCATGAACCAACCTTGGGAGTGTTCCATTCGGTTTTGTGCCGGCGCGCCGCTCGTGCAGCCCGGCACGTTGCTTGTACAACCAGGCACAGCGCCTGTGAAAGCCGGCCAGGCGCTCGGCCACGCACGGGCAAATTGCCCGGTCAAGCCCGGCCAGTCAGGCCATGCGCCAGGCCACCCGAGAAGCAAGATTTTGCCCAGTTTTCGTCTAAACACTTCCTTAACCTTATTTGATCATTTTTAGATGGTTTTATACATCTAACCTTGGTTCATTTGAGTTTATTAAGTATTTTATTTTATAGAGAAACCTCGGAAAGTGATTAATCTAAGTATGATGCGGGGTTCGTTTTAGGCGTTATTTGCATGTTTTTGCGAGAGCCTCTTGATCCAAGTGATTTGGGACAGAAACAAGCACTTAGAAGTTCTGATTGTGAGCTCACGTTGGCTTCAAGGAAGAGCCTAGAAGTCTTCGACCAAGTCCAAGCTTATCTTCTTCATTATTACCTTCATTTAATGCTTGACATAGGTGTCCCCTTTGCATTTAATTTTCTAACTAGCATTTATGAGACTATTTATGAAGCCCTTGAGTCACCAGTGCACCAATTATTTGACCCAAAGTGAGAGAGCTTCGGCCAAGGAGAGAACCGAAGGAGAGAGAGAGAGAGAGAATTAATTCTCATAATCATGAATTTTGGCCTATGCTCTTAATGAACTAATGAGGTCATGGCTTACCTCATACCCCAATGACATATGCGCTTACATCAATAAACCCCAAGCCATTGCCCTATAAATAGAGGACATTATGAGAGAATTGCCACACTTTTCACATACATAGCCGGCCACTCACGCCCAAGAGAGAGAGAGAGAGAGAGAGAGAGAGAGAGAGTCGGCCACCTTAAGTCGCCCGAGACCCCCAAGGCCGCCGTCCCCACCGTCCATTCTCCACTCTCTAGTTCTTGTTTTATTTAGTAGTAAGTGAATTCCCTAATACCGGAAAATGACATTGAGATACGTTATATCATGAGCGTTCCACTGTTTCTCGGTTCTTGGTGTTTCAATGTTGCATTTTTTTCCCCGCACCCGTACGTGGCTTGGTATCGCCTAGCCAACGGGGACTGGGTTAGACCCCTTCGTGGGTTTAGCGGTCCCTTTGATGGCACGGGCGGGTCGGCTCCGGGATCGGCCACGGCTGGGGCGTGAGGACGGCCGTGCGGATGAGGCCGAGGAGGAGCGAGCGAGAAGTGAGGAGCGAACGAGAGCGAGAAGCTAGTAGCCGTAAAGAAGCTAGGGACCCAAGCCAAATTTTGTTGTTTATATGGCTTGTACTCGGAGGTGCCTTTGAAATAGGCATGTGAAAAATCTAGTGTGCGGCTTGCTTGGCCCGAGATAGGGCATGTAAAATAAGCACGAGTCCATCATGTAAATACAATGTGCACCGTTTGCTTTAATTGCTTGGATTTGTCTCGTTTATTTTGCTTCCGCTTGCGTTTCAATTTAAAATCAACGGGACGTTTTAACAATTGTCTATGCTTCACGGGCTCGTTCCAGTCATGGTCGGTCAACAAGCATCGACCGTGAGTGGTTTGGGACGTGACATCGTTGTTTTGGTATCAGAGCAGGTTTTCCCTCCAGTAGGCGCAGTTCGGAACAACTTGTGCTCAGACAGTCCAATGAGGGCGGGGCGTGGCGCCGG